GCACTGCTACATGTGTGATAGTGCGTTTATACAACAGTTTGACGGCATATTTGTGTATATAGAAACTAAATCAAACATGGAGAGTGTCAAAAGCCCTTTTGTATGAGGAACTACTTTCTTCCGGATTCGTATCATAAGCTGACAGTTAATCACTTAGGTGCATTTTTTAAACTTTAGATATGTTGTGTCTGGTTGTATGTGGGCGGAGTAATACACACAGCATAAAGATCCTGTTGGAGTTCTGATATTGCAGAATATCGCACAGATATCATCCAATCAGATATGAGAGCCAGACAGAACTGTTGTGCGTGTATGTGTGTGTGTGTATATATATATATATATATATATATATATATATATATATATATATATATATATATATATATATATATATATATATATATATATATATATATATATATATATATATATATATATATATATATATATATATATATATATAGATAGATAGATAGATAGATAGATAGATAGATAGATAGATAGATAGATAGATATAGATATATACACACACACACAACAGTTCTGTCTCGTTCTCGTATTTGATTGGCAATATAAATTATTAGATATTAAAGTAATATCATCACTCATACAGCCTCTTCACGCTTGTGTATTACTCCGCCCTCATAGAGTGGCAAGCAGAGGACTTCAGTTTGACAAATATTGCAGCTGTTGGACAACATAATGTATCTTTGAGGCATCATCTCGTCATGCAGTTGGGATGCACTGATACCAATTTTTAGAACCGTTATGATACAAAATATTCTTAGTATCGACCGATACCGATACTAATACAGATCTGATACTAGCACAGTTTTATAATGTAATACAAATTCTATACTTCTAATAACACACAATATCGAATTTGTATCGGCCAGAACAACCTTAGTTCCGTCCAAGTCTGATGTTGCACGCAAAAAAAAAAATTGTATTACAATTTATTACTTACTTTGAGTGCCTTGGACTTAAAATTTCAGTATAAATACACTACATTAGCATTCAAAATGTCAAATACTTAATTATAAGTACTTTTCTAAAGTTATAGACATGTTTATAAACGCTTTTTAATTTGTTCACTTACATTTTGAGTGACTTGGACTTAGGACTTAGGATTTTGGTATAAATACAATACATTCGCCTTCAAAATGTCAAAAACTAATACCGATACTGGTACCGATTTGATACCATCTCAGTTTCATAATGTAATACAATTTCTATATCTCTGAAGCACAATATTGAATTTGTATCGGCCAGATGCACCAATCTTAGTCCCATCCAAGTCTGATATTGCACGCACATGTGTATACACATTATCAGAAGTATGAAAATTGGATTACATAAAAAAACTGCACTGATATCGGATCTTTTTGCAGCATCAGAGCTGAGATCACATCTGTGCATCCCTACTAAAAAAAGTCACTGCCTTACAGGGCAACAAATCAGCAGCTTAAGCTTTCGTACGCAGCCAAAACCCAAAACTATGCCTTTCTAACGGTTCTCGGTGAAACAGGATGACGTCTCCTGTTGTCTCTCGTGTGCATTTTAAACCAGGAATGTAAACAAGCCGATTAAAGTCTGCAAAGTTCTCACGATTCCAATCATACCTTAAACTTCCCCATTTCCATAGCTGGCATACCGGAGTCTGTCAACCAAACCCAACCGACCTACAACAGAGAGAGTAAAAGCAGTCTCACTGAAAATACTGCACCACACCTGCTCTTAGGGCCCTTAAAATAACAGCAACACCCCTCACAGTTTCTATAAATAGAAAAAAACCCAAAGCTTCCGACTTTAGGCGGTTAAACCTGCTCAAAACAAACAATAAAATCCAAGAAGACGCAATATATATGTCAAAGCACTCTTTATAGTGGCTCTTTTTATGTTTGTGATGCAACACAGGTAAATTAACTCTCGTCACTTTGCTTCGCCGACGCATGATGAGAATTGTCGCATTCACAAATGTGGACAAACAGCAATCTCGACATTTCTAGCTCGGGCCGTATCCGCCCACTGCACTTATGAGCCTCAGGAGAGGAAGACACAGAGACTCATCTGCGCTGGATTTCACCTGGAAGGTAGGTTTCACCGACATTTCCTTTAAACACAGCAGGATACTTAGGATACTTACTTTTGTAGTGTAGGATTTCGGTATAAATAGCCTTTAAAAGAGCCTTCAAAATGTCAAATGCTTAATTAAAAGTATTTTTAATTTGTTCACTAATTTTTTGAGTGCCTTGGAGTTAGGATTTTGGTAAAAATACACTACATTAGTCTTCAAAATGTCAAATACTTAATTATAAGTATTTTTCTGCAGTAACAGCCATGTTAATAAAGGCTTTTTAATTTGTTCACGTACATTTTGAGTGCTTTGGACTTAGGATTTCAGTATAAAGACGCTACATTAGCCTTCAAAATGTCAGACACTCAATTAAGTATTTTTCTAAAGTTATAGCCATGTTAATGAAGGCTTTTTAATACGTTTATTTACTTTTTGAGTGCCTTGGACTTAAGATTTTGGTATAAATATACTACATTATCCTTTAAATTGTCAAATGCTCAATTATAAGTACTTTTCTAAAGTTATAGCCATGTTAGTAAAGGCTTTTTAATTTTTTTACTTTTCGTGTGCCTTGGACTTATGATTTCAGTATAAATTCACTAAATTCTCCTTCAAAATGACAAATACTAGATCATAAGCATTTTTCTAAAAGTACTTTTCTAAAGTTATAGTCATGTTAATATAATTTAATTTGTTCACTAATTTTTTGAGTCCCTTGGACTTTTGGTATTAATACACAGCATTAAACTTGTATTATACCCTGTAAAAAGATTCTTGCTGCGTTAAAATTTTTTAGTTGAATCAAGTTAACTTTTCTTGTACAGTATAACTTAAATGCAGCTAAAATCCTTAACTTATTAAAATGAGTTAAAGCAACATAAAAATATTTGCTGTCTTGACTTTTTGTCATTAAACTTTTTTGAAAGGACACTATATATACGTATAACTATGGGTCAACTATGTTAATATTACTTATAAAAAAAAAAAAACAATAAGGACGCTGTTTTAATGTAAAGCCAACACATAGTTGGTCCGGAAAACTCTTTAATATATATTTAAAACCTTTTATTTTGATGTCATCTTTTGTTTACCTAAAGATGTAATGGTAAAACCAAAGTCTGGGCCATTACACCAAATTATCTTTGATATTTTACACACACAAAAGTTGATTCAAAGATGATTCGGTGAGTTTACAAATTTTAAGTTAAGTGGTTGTAAACAATTTACTTGGGCTGAATTTACACAAACAAATTAAGCTTAACATTGCTAAGTTTAATTTGTTTGTTTAAATTCAGCCCATAAGTCATTTTTTCAGTGAATTATTTAGCATGTTTTCAGTGTATTGTATATAGAATCACTTTCGCAAAATGAATTGGACTCGGACACCAAAGTGGGATGCCTTATCTTTGACCCATATTTAATCCTTTATATCTTTATATGTTTTATTTTATTTTATTTGGTTTAAAGATGACTTAATATTGTATTAAATATTGTATTAAACAAATTATGTATGGTAAAAATATGAAATAGTAGCTGTTTTGAAAAATCACACACTTATGGGGACAAATATTTCCAATAATTGGAAATTGTCCGTTGCTCTGAATATATTGGTTTATTGGATATGGGTTTAGGTACAATTTATTTATTTGTTCGTTTGCTTGTTTGTTTTCTATAAAAGTGTGGTAACACTTCCAAAACTTCCAAAATGTGAATTAAAATAACTGGATTTGTAAAAATATTTAAATGTGAAAATGACAACTGGTCAAAATAGCAAAGGTTATCATTTGCTGTTTCTGAAAAGCAGCGTCATTCCAATCAAAAATGAGTAATAATAAAAATAAACTGAAACATGGGACTTTTATTTAGGACTTGATGCAGAAAAAATTACATATAAATTTATATATATATATAAATATATACATACATACAGTTGAAACCAGACGTTTACATACTATAAAAAAGGGAACATAACCATTTAAAAAAAAAAAAAATGTCTGATGGGAAATGATACTAAACGTTTACTATTTTAAGTCCATTAGGATTACCTAAATGATTTACATTTGCTAAATGCCAGAATAACGAGAGAATTTTTTTGGAGATTTTTTTTTTTACTAATTTCTAGAAAGTCAAAAGTTTGCACACATTTCCTTTGTATTTTTTCAGCTTTGCTTTTAAACTCTATAATTTGGTCAAATGTTTCGGGTCTCCTTCCACAAGCTTCTTACAATAATTTACAGGAAATTTTGGCCATTTCCTCTTGACTGAATTGGTGTAACTGAGTCAGATTTGTTGGCTGTCTTGCTCGCACAAGCTTTTTCAACTCTGCTCACAAATTTTCTACAGGATTGACATCAGGGCTTTGTGATGGCCACCCCAAAACATTCACTCTGTTGTCCTTAAAGCACATTTTAACTAATTTGGCAGTATGCTTAGGGTCATGGTGTGTTTGGAAGACCCATTTGTGGCCAGGTTTTAATTTCCTGGCTGATGTCTTGAGATGTTGCTTCAGTATTTTTACATAATGTTCTTTCTTCATGATGCCATCTATGCTGTGAAGTGGACCAGTCCCTCTTGCAGCAAAACAGCCCCACAACATGATGCTGCTGCCCCCATACTTCACAGTTGCGATGGTGTTAGTAGGCTTGTAAGCTTTCCCCTCTGTCCTCCAAATGTAACACTGGTCATTATGGCCAAACAGTTCAATCTTAGTTCAATCAGACCACAGGACATGTCTCCAAAAATGAGCCTTTTTCCCAGTGTAATTGACCAAATTGTAATCTGGCTTTGTTGTTGATTCTGTCTAGTTGATTTTTCTCATGTTGTCACACAAGGAAGCAGTGTGTGTTTGAGGTTTTCCTTCAATACTATTCTACAGTTGTGTCTCCAATTAACTCAAATGTTGTCAATTAGCCAATCAGAACCTTCCAAAACCTTGACATCATCATCTGAGCTTTTTCAGAGGCAGAATAATCTTATTGTATGTAAAGTTGACTTTCAAGAAAAGTTATAACAATTTCTCAATAAAATATCTCTCATTATTCTGCTACTAAGCATAACAGAAACAAATGTGATAATCCTGACCTACCTAAAAGAGAAAAAGTTTAGTCACATTAACATCTGACTTTTTTAACGGTTATGTGCCTTTTTGAACAGTGCATGTAAACTATTTTCAAGTGGTCTCCATATTCCCTCTTATAAATATATAAAATCAGTGTTTACCAACCATGTTTCTGAAGTACACACTTTCAACCTCTCCCTAATCAAACACACTTGAATCAACTCATCAGAACATCAGAAGAAACTCCAAAACCTGAAGTTAATGGGTCAGATCAGGGAGACATCCAAAATTTGTACTGTTGGTGTGCATGAATGTTGACAAGCCAACAATATGCACGGATACAGTAAAACATCTGTATACAGTAATGCATTTGAGCTAACTTGACTATAACATTTGTTCTCAGGTGACTGCTCCTATATTTCTGTAAGAGAAGATCCGTTCAGTATTTCCCATCATGGCAGGTAATAAAAGCTATTTGCGGGGAAATACAGTAAGGAATGTCAGAATAAAGTACTGTATAATGTGCTCGTCACAGATGACAAAAATGCAAATGTCAACAAAATGCAAAATAAGAAAACGCAAACTAATCTATGGGGAAAATTGTGGGGAAGAGAAATAATCAGAGAAATAATGGATCTGTTTGTTGTGTCCGTCTGGTTTTCCTGTTGTTACAGAACACGGTGACCCTTGCACTGGATCAGAGGCCAACTTTTGCATGAATGGAGGAACCTGCTTTAAAATACCTTCAGTGTCGACACCCACCTGTGTGTAAGTGTTACATCAGCCTAAACCTATTCAAAGAATGTCTTGCTAACATTCCAGATAAAGTTACGTTGAAATGTCCTTATTATTAGTTATTTTTTAGTTAATTTAATATAACAAAGTTAGCTAAAAAAAACATTTATTAAATCACAAATTTAATTCTCTCTAAATATTAATTTTTGTGTGAGCTATATTTTTTAATAATGCATTAGTAAATAAACTGCGATTTATAAATTATATTGTTAAATGCATATTACTGGAAACTTTTTGTGAAGTATGTGTATGTAT